TGAGTCCATTACTTATTAAGAACATATTAGGCTCTCCAAGTTTGAGATCTTAAACCGGACCTTTTCGGTTCTTATGTACCAAAAAAAATCTATATACTCATAATGTATCAAATATGAACTCATAAAGTTAAACCAAACCCATAAATGATGAGACTTTAACCTAGGATTTAAAGGTTTCAAGCCCTCTTCCTTGCCATTGAAACAAAACCTCATTAAATGTTCATTTTCGAAACCATTTGAAAAAATTATTTATCAATTTTTTAAAATTTCCAAAATGCTTAATTATTTAAGCTAAAACCTATTTAATGCATTCAGTAAATGCTCTTTCCTTTTTATTTCCATATTATTTCATTACATATAGGTATATGTAGAACAAAAATTCAATAAAGAATTTATTCAAACTTTTCTTTTCAATAGCAAGCCAAGCAATTATCGACAATTATCTTATATACACCAATAGTGAAATTTTTAAATTTTACAACTAGGTTTGGATTATTGACACATGTCTACTCAATTATAAATAGGGAAATCTTTAAATTGACATAATTACTTAAATGCACATGTATCAATAATTTAAACCAATTAGTGAAGCTCAAAAATTCCAAACTAGTAATTTATAAGATAATGGAGTAAATTATTTAGTTGGTCACTTAAATGTTATAAGAATTTATGTTTTTGTTACTCAATTTTGAAAAACAACATTTTGGTCACTAATGTCTATACAAGCTATTGTTTTGGTCACTAACTGGTCAAAAGATATGAACTTCCCACATGAAAGTCTTTACCTTTTAACGGTTAAATAATAATATTTATAAATGTTGATAATTAAAATATAATTTTTAAAAAATGGATGACCAAAATAAATAAAATTTAAAAAGTTAAATAATTAAAAATTAATATACTCAAGAAAATAATCCAACAATTTTTATAGTATGAATTCAAAACTTAAAAATTTCAATACTGAAAATTCAACACTAATATTTAAGTTTATCAAACAAGTGCCTTAACTAATGAAAAATTAAAATGAAAATACGTGTACCTCTAAAAGTTATTCTCATATATCATATCATATCCATTACTATAAGAAATATAAGGAAAATTTAATTGGAAATGATTGGTGTTAAAACAATTTTAAATATTAACTTCTATTCATTCATTTCCTTCTATTATTAGATTTCTAATTCCTTTTATAGTCATGAGGGTTTATTTGATCAAAAATAAAAATATTAAGACTTGATTAAATACAGTAAAATAATAAAAATTTACTTGAATTTTTTTTAATTAGTTTAAGGATTTTTTCAAACACTACACCTTCTTTTGTTCAACATTACAAAAGGAAAGAAAAAGGAGTTTTAACGAACCAGTAATGTTCAAATTATAATGCCTATTGGTTATTCACTTTAATTTCATAGAAATTATGTAAAATATTAAAATATTAAAGAAAAAAAGAGAAAATTAAATCAGCCTAGTTCAACTTAACTGAAATTCACTATGATATATGAGTCGCATAAATATAAGAACGCATTACTATTTGTATTTGTTTATATGTCAAAGTTTATAAAGAAAAGTTTTTTTAGTAGATAAAAACAAGTTGAAATTATACTTATACTTTGTAAATATTGAATAAATCGATGATGAATAGTTTTTTTAGGAGTAATTCTTTAAAAAAATTTTAAACTATTTATGAATTACATGCATTCAATTAAGCTCGTATATTTTATTTTGAGTTAAATAGACTCTCATAACTAATAGTTGACTAACTGTCAATAATTAAATTGCTATTTATCATCTTATGCTCACATAACATTAATGTGATGTTGACGTGGAAGGTCAAAATACCATGTGATCTCATAAATAAGCCACCTTAACATTTACTGTAACATGTCAGCATATCACATTAGTATCACTTGATATAAAATAACAAGTGAGGTTTTAATTAACGATAATTAATCAACTATTAATCATAAGTACAAGAACTTAATCGAACAAAATAAAAAAATAAAAAATTTATTTGAATTTTTTTGAATAATTCATAAACTTTTTTAGATATTATGCTTTTATTTTGTTTTTATCCTTAATAGGAAGGTTAATCGGCTAAGTGCTTGTTTGGTCGGATTTTTTTTCAACTTATCTATCTCTTAAAAGCAAAAGTCCCAAACATAAATTTTGAAAAGCTCTTAAAAAATAACTTTTTTTAAAAGAATAAATTTTTTAAAAAAAGAGCTTTAGGAAAAGCTCCTAAGAGGAGCTTTTTTTCTCTTTTTTTTTTAAAAATACAAAAAAAAATTATTTTTGTTTCAAAAATATCCTCATCTGTTAAAATTAATTACAATATAACTCTCTCAAAAAAAAGAAATACTCTTTATGATAATTTTAACCAAAATTATAACTTATAAAAAAGAACTTATAAAAAAAAATTTACCAAACAACTTAAGTCTAAAAGCTATTATTTTTCATAAGAGCTTCATAATAGCTTTTAAGTTAGAAAAAAATTAAGCCAAACATGCTCTAAAGATATTTGAAAGTGAAACATCTTTGTTGGATTATGATGATAAGGCGGCAATTATTACATTTTTGGTCTTACGCCTTTTTTTATTTTTATTTTTTATAATTGAGAGAGAAGGGATTCGAACCGAACTCTTTAGATAAGAAGATAATACACCAACCAAGATGCTGGTCTTACGCCTTAATGACTATAATTATATTATATAGTATTAAGTAAAAAGGTGAAGAGGAAGAAGGGAAAAATCAGCTGGATCCAAAAATGTTTCCACAAATTAAACAACTAACAGTTCTTTTCTATTAATTCTTCTTCTTTTTAATTAAATTTCACGTACACATAAATAGTTATTGAAAGAAAAAATAAGAATGTGATGAACACAGAACAGAGAACACGGATTAGTATTTTAGCTGGCCTTGGGGAGAAGCAAACCTAGAGGAGAAACTGGGATAGTAAGGGTCATTCTCTTTGTCAAAACGATCATCATCAAAGTTTAAAGCATAGCCTGAAGGGCTATAGGTTAATCCACTATTCCCTTCCTTTGGCTGCTGATCAGTTTTCCAAGGCTTTGCCTTTGTTGTGCTGCTGAGCACACGTTTCTGCTTCGAGTTACTGCCTTTAGGCCTTGGAGGGAGACATGTTGAGCATGAAACCGACTCTTCCTTGGTTTTGGTTTTGGTTTTGGATTGAATCTGCTTCTTTTGGTTAGTGCTATGGGATGATGGATACTCCATTTTCTAGATCAGTAGTTTTGGTTTGGGTGCTTCGTCTCCTTTTAGGGAATAATAACAAACAGATGATAATTTGTGGAAACACATTGTGGTGTATATATAGACATATGCATGTACTCCCATGCATGCAAGCAATTTAAGTTA